ACTGACCTCGCACCGCTGGAGTGGGGATGCTGGGGGGGCTCCCAGGGGAGCCAGGGACCCCCCTGGCCTCGAGCATCCCCCGCCGTGCCTTGCAGGGGGACGGTGCCATGGCTGAGAAGACGTCACCGAGCCCCGGCGTGGGCATCACACCACTGCAGCAGATGCTGGCCTCGGGGACAGGCGCCATCCTCACCTCCCTCTTCGGTGAGCACCGCAGGGTGGGCGCCGGGGCGGGGGGCTGGCACGGGGGGAGTCATGGCTAAAGGGTGGTGTTGTTTCAGTGACACCGCTGGACGTGGTGAAGATCCGGCTGCAGGCCCAGAGGACCCCGTTCTCCAAAGGTAACCCTGCTCAGGGCAGGGTGGGGGGCTCCAACCAGCCCCCCAGCCAGCTGGCGAGCAGCCCGTGGGGATGGCTTGGTTGGCAGAGCCAGTGGCAGGGATGTCTCAGCTCCAGAGCTTGGGGCCATTGCGAGGTGGCAGGTTACCATGGGCCCCTCATCCTGACGAGCTCAGGGGGCCCTGCTGGGGGAGCTGGGCTCGTGCTTGGCTCTGTCCTTCCCCCTCCACGGCCCGGTGCTGAGGGGGGTCAGCACTGTGCCTGGCAGCCCCCAGCCCCTGGGGAGCAGGGCAGAGGGGCTCACCCTGCTCCAGCTGCTCGCTGTTCCCCCACTGCCTTTGTTCCAATCTCCACACTGCTCCTCGTGGACTCTGCCCTCCATCTGCCCCCATCCTGTGGGGTCAGCGGGCTGGGCCCAAGGGACTGGTTTGGTGACAATAGGGACTGCTTGGGAAGTGGCTGCGGGGGCATCCAGCCCCTTCACCCACGGAGTTCTCCCACTGCCCAGCTCGGAGCTGCAGCACACACGTGTGCCCCGGCCCCGGGAGGTGGCACGTCCCGGTGCCAGTGCTCAGTGTGTCCCCATTGTGTGTTTCAGCGTTGCCAGCACAGGCAGTGCCCTGGGGCGCTCAGCCGGCCACATGTGAGTACGCCCGAGGGCTCCAGGCAGCTCCTGCTGCCAGTGGCTTCGCTTTCCCAAACCTTGATCCCAGTTTGCTTTTCCACTGGTGGCAGCTCGGGCTCCTCTGGCTGTAGGGACATCCCTGTGGCGTGGGAGCTGCCACTGTCCCCAGCCCTGGCTGTTCCTGCAGCCCTGCTTTGGGGCTGGCTGTGCCACATCCGTGGGGTCTGCTGGGGGGTCTGTTGTGCAACAGGCCTGGCTCTCTGTGCTCCCCCTCTCTGTACTGTGGCTACGTCAAAGTCCCTTTGGATCTCCACTGCCTGGGTCCCTCTGCCTGGCTTGAGAGCACAGTGGTGGGGCCATGGTGTCCCCACCGTGCCACGGCAGCAGAGCCAAGACCAACCAAGGCATAAAACCCCTCCTGCCACTGGCAGTGAGTCCTGCTGTGCTCCCATCCTTGCCGTGGGGCTGTGTGTCCCCCACCCTGCAGGTCTGGCTGTGGTCAGACCCTGGCCAGAGGGTTGTCCCTCTCCTGGCCTTGGCCTGGGGCTGGTCCCACTGGGCTCAAGCGCTGACGGTTTGGCTTCTTCCTGGAAGGAAGGCTTTGGGATCAGATGTGCTGGGTGTGGGGCAGAGGGGAAGGGTCTCCTGTCTAACAGTGATGCCATTGCTTCCTGCCTCAGGGAAGTGTTTCCTCTACTGCAATGGGCTCATGGACCACCTGTACGTCTGCCAGAACGGCAACGGCTGCACCGCCTGGTACAAGGCCCCCACCCACTTCACTGGCACACTGGTAGGGGCCGTGGGCACAGCAGGGTGGGCAGGGGCCTCCCTGTCCCAGAGGGGTGTTTGCTGGGCAGGTGTTTGCCCATCTCCTCCCTCTAACTCCTCTCCCTGGTGCTCCACTCTCTCCCCAGGATGCCTTTGTGAAGATCACACGCTACGAGGGCATCAGGTCCCTGTGGAGCGGCTTGCCCCCCACCCTGTGAGTTTGGGCATTCTGGGTGCTGACACCTGCCTGGGCACACAGGCATCAGTCCCAAGCCCCCTGCTGGCCCTCAGGGAGTCCATGTGCCTCTCACTCCCCTCATCCTCCTCCTCCTCACAGGGTCATGGCTGTGCCAGCCACCGTCATTTACTTCACCACCTACGACCAGCTCCGGGACTACCTGCACGCCCGGACGGGAAGTCGGGGCCCCCACATCCCCTTGCTGGCCGGGGCCCTCGCCAGGCGTGAGTACCCCTCCTCCCTGGGGGTCTCCCCATGCCCACCCTGTGGTGCCAGCAGAGTGTGGCAGGTCTTGGTGCCCAGTTTTGGCACCTGGCTCTCCCAGCATGGTGCTGATGGCTCCCGGACAGCCGCTGGAGCTGATTCCCGGTGTCCCCTCCTTGCAGTGGGTGCCGTGACGGTCATCAGCCCCTTGGAGCTGATCCGCACCAAGATGCAGTCCCGGCAGCTCAGCTACCGTGAGCTGGGTGTCTGCATCCAGTCAGCAGTGGCCCAGGATGGCTGGCTGTCCCTCTGGAGAGGCTGGGGACCCACCGTGCTGCGGGACGTCCCCTTCTCGGGTATGGCTGTGGTGGCACTGGGAACCAGGGCCGGGGGGTTGGTGTGTCCAGGGTGTCCAGTTGTAGCACTGGTGTCTCCTCTCCCCCCAGCTCTGTACTGGTTTAACTACGAGCTGGTGAGGACGTGGCTCTGCAGGAAGGCCTGGCTGGAAGAGGCCACGTTCATGGTCAGCTTCACATCTGGGGCCATCTCTGGCACGGTGAGTTTGGGGTGCTGAGGCTCACTCAAGGTGAGGGATGGTCCCTGTGGGAGGGAAGGGCAGGCTGGGATGGCACAGGGAGGTGACAGCAGAGCTGTCACCAGGTCCAGGCTCACTGCCTGGTGCCAACCCCACAGGTGGCCGCGGTGCTGACGCTGCCCTTCGACGTGGTCAAAACCCAGCGGCAGATCGAGCTGGGAGACAGTGAGGTGCACCCAGGTGAGGGGCCAGGCCTGCAGGCAGGTGCCTGGGGGGCATCCAGGACTCCTCATGGGCATCCCTAGACCCTTACCTGCTCCCCTCTCCCCACAGTCTCAGCCTCCAAGCCTTCCTCCACCTGGCTGCTCATGCAGCGGATCCGCGCCGAGTCTGGCACCCGGGGGCTGTTTGCAGGTGAGGACGTGCCCCGGCCTTGTGCTGGGGTTCCAGGTGCCCTGGTGTCACCCCAGGGCTGACAGCGCTGTCCTTGCAGGCTTCCTGCCCCGTGTCATCAAGGTGGCACCTGCCTGCGCCATCATGATCAGCACCTACGAATTTGGCAAGACCTTCTTCCAGAAGCTGAACCAGGAGCGGCGGCTGCGGGGGTTGTGAGCAGGGCTGGGGCAGAGCTGTGTGTGGCCATGCCCAGGGGACAGTGCCAGCCCTGCTCCGGCCGGGAGTCCCGGGAGCGGCGATCCACGCTCGGCTGTGCAGAGCCCAAGTGCCTTCATCCCGCGCTCTGCCTCCCCACACACGGAGCCAGGGCCCCACTCCCTGTCCCAGCCACTCTGGGGGACATCTGTGCCTGCTGCTGTGACACTGGGGGGGACATGGAGCCCCCCACACTCATCCCTTGGGGCTGGACAGATGCTGCTGCTGCTGCTGGATTCATGGACACTCTGGCAAGGATGGGATGTCCCAGGTGACTTGGCCTGGCAGGAGGTGGAGCTGGGGCTCAGGCGAGGACCAAACCCCAAACCTCGGAGGCTTCTCTGCCTCCCTGGGCCCCCCAGCCCTACTCTGCCCAGGGGTCCATCACTCACGCACAGCCTCCCCTTGCTGGCTCTGCATGGGGACACGACAGGACCCTCTCCCTGCCTCCGGACCTCTCCTGTCACTGGGGGTATCCCTGTCCCCTGCCAGACCCCGGGTTGGACAGACCCTGCATGGGGACAGACCTCGCTGCTGCTCCAGGGGGCCGGGGGGCACTGTGGCACCCCCTGCCCTGTCCCTTCACTGCAGGGGACAGCTCTGCGGGCACTGCCCCCACCTTCCCCTGGGACTCACAGGGGGAATTCCCCTTATTTTCTTAAATAAAAGAAAAATTTGTCTCATAGTGGGTTTCTCTCCCTGGGTGCTGGGGGCTGTGAAAGGCCCCAGGGGCACCCCCCAGGGGTGCCAGCCATGTCCCTGCTGTGTGTGCACAGTACTGTCACCCACCGGGTCCTTGCTGGGCTTTTACTGAGGGTAAGGGGACCCAGGACCGCCCTGCTCCCCCCAGCAGCACCCCAGTGCTGATGGGGCGGGGGGATACCCCATCCCTGCTGACCTGCTGTGTCCCAAAAGTGCTCTCCCTGCCCGGGGGGCTGGAGGAAGCTCACTGGACCCTCCTCAGCACCCCTGCTTGGGCCAGGACCTCATGGTGGGGGGCACAAAGGGTCTGTTCCCCCCTGTCCCAGCAGGGGGGGTGGGTGACAGGCCAGCTCTGCTTGCTGCATTTATTGATTTCCTTTTGCTCCAACCAGGCAGATGGGGCCGAAATAAAAACCAAAATCACCCAAAACAACCCAAAACCCAGGGGAGGATGGGGAGGGGATGGGAAAGGAGAGTCCTACCCCTGGCGTGGGGATGCTGCTGCAAGGAGGGACAGCTGGTCCCCGAAGTGGGGGACAGGCAGCCCCCCAAAGCAGAGGGGCTGGGGAAGGCCAGGTGGGCACTGAGGGCTGAGCAGGATGGACAGCTGGGCTGTGCCCAGCCTCACCCCTGGAGAGGGCCTGGCCCTGACCCCCCCTTGCTCCCCAGCAGCTGTCGCTCCCAGTGTCCCCCCATGGCACAGTTCATCCCCCCCATCCCCAGCTCGCCTGGGTCCCAGTCCTGCATCCCCCATCCCAACGGGTCCATGTCTCCAGCCAGGGTCCAGGCTGGGGGTCCGAGGCACAGCCGGGGGGTGGGATGTCGAGATGGGGAGGGGGATGCCCGTCCCCAGCCTCCCCGGTGGGTTTGGCGAGTCCCTTGTAGTTCCCGGGGCGGCGAGGGGGGCCGAGCTCAGTCCCGGGCCGAGCTCAGTCCTGCGCCGCGACGCTGGGCCGGGTGGCCGGGCCGGGGGGTGGTGAGGGGGCCGGGGGCCTCAGCTGGGGCTGCGGGTCGGGCTGGCTTCCGTGCTGTCGCTCACCAGGCACTCGTTGGACTTGAGGCTGGCCAGGGACTTGCAGCTGGGCAGGGAGGCCAGGGAGCCGCAGAGCCCCAGCATGGAGGGCGTGGGGTCCTTCCCTGTGGGCAGAGAGGGGTGTCATGGGGGGCTGCGGCCTCGCACCCCAGCGCTGCCACCGCGGGGGGACGGGGACCACCCCTCCGGGAGGGACCCTGGGTGTCCCTGCACTGCTGGGACAGCACTGGTGCCACAAGGAAGGGGCTGTTGGGAGGGTTCAGACACCCGGGTGCGTGTGGGGGGACACGCTGAGCCCTGTGGGGCACCCGCTGGTGGGTGGGGGGTGTCTTACCCAAGGGCCCCCAGGGCTCGCCCTCGCGCTTGCCCTCGCCCAGGCGCTGGGAGTCGGAGCTGAGGCTGTTCTCGGCCGAGAGCTGGTCGGTGCTCACGAAGCTGTGCCTGCAGAGGGACAACGCTGAGCCCCCGGGGCTGGCACAGCCCTTCTCCCCGTCCCCCCTCCCCCAGGGTAGGGCAGGGTGCTGGGCACGGGTCGGGGGGGCTCTGCCCCCAGCACAGTGTTACCTCCTGTAGAGTTTGCTGTCCGAGCCGCTCTCGTTGCCGTTGAGGGTCCCCAGCGAGGGCCACTGGTTGACTAGGGGTGTCACCATCTCCTTGGAGAGCTGGGCCAGCTGCGGGTTCTCGCAGGGGATCAGCCCCGTCCTGCGGCAAAGGCGGCTGCTCAGCACCCGGCACGGCCACCGGTGCCGGGGACCTGCCGGGCGACACGGCCCACGGGATGTGTGGGGCACTGGGGACCCACCGCGTCCCACGGGGCACATGGGACACCGGGGACCCTCCGTGTCTCATGGGGTATATGAGGCATTTGGAACCCACCATGTCCCACAGGGGATAAGGGACACTGGGGACCCTCCATGTCCCATGGGATATATGAGGCACTGGGGACCCACCATGTCCCGTGGGGGACAGGGGACACTGGGGACCCTCCATGTCCCGTGGGGGACAGGGGACACTGGGGACCCTCCATGTCCCAAAGGCCATATGGGGCACCTGGGTATTGGGAACCTTCCACCCATCATATCCCATGGATAATATGGGGTATTGAGGACCCATCACGTCCCACAGGGCAGACTGGGCACACTGGGGACCCTCCATGTCCTATGGGATATATGGAGCACCTGGGCATCAGAGACCTGCCACCCATCACATCCCGTGGGGCAAATGGGATACCAGGGACCCGCTGTGTCCCACAGGGAATATGGGGCACCCAGACCCTGGGAACGCCACATCCATCACACCCCACAGGGTGTACGGGGTGCCAGGGACCACCCCTCACCCTGCCCCTCGGGATCAATGGGGCACTGGGGACCACCCACAGCCCCTGGGGCACCCAGCCTCCAGGGACCCTCCCTAGCCCGAGCCCCCCGCAGCAGCAGCAGGTCCCCACTCACAGCTGCTCCTGCAGCTCCAGGATGACGCCCTCCAGCTCCCTCTTCTCCAGCTGGTTCTGCACCATCACCTCCTCCAGCCGCAGCTTCAGCCGCTTGTTCTCCGCCTCCAGGTCCTTCAGCTGCGACTCCCGCAGCCGCACCAGCTCCTCCAGGTACCCCTGCAGGAGGCCACTGTCACCACTGGTGGCCCTGCTGCCACCACAATGTCCCCAGGGCCACTCAGGGTGACAACGAGAGGACTGGGTCACCACAGCAGTGGGGTGAAGGTCTGTGGACACCACTGGGCTGTGGGAGAGGGGATGCAGGGGCAGATGCTCCAGGCTGGAGCATCCCGGGGAGGGGGGGGTACCTTGACAGCCCCATTCCAGCTCCCAGTACCTTTTGGGCATAAACGATGCGGAACTTCTGCTCCATCTTGCGCCACTTGTTGTACCAACTGTCCTCGTCGGTGACCAGGGGCAGGTAGGGGTGTTCAGGTGAGCTGTCCTCGCTCGTGCTGCTCTCCACGCTGCCCCGCTCCTCCTCCTCACTCAGGTAGTCGTAGCTGGGGGGTGTAGGGGCTCAGTGGGGGCTGTCACACAGCCAGGGATACCCACCAGGGTGCCAGGGCAGAGACAAAACCCACCGAGGGACCCAGAGATCCCAAAAAACCCACCAAGGGAGCCCCCAGATCCCCAACATATGCAGGTGCAGGTGGGTCCTGCTACTCCCCAAAACACAACGGGGACTCCCAAAGACCTTCCCAAACTGATCCGGGGGTGGGGGAACCTCCATGTCCCCCAAAACCCACCAAGGGACCCCCCTCTGACCCAACCAAGGGAGCCCCCAGACCTCCAACACCTGCAGGTGAAGGTGGATCCTGCTGCACCCCAAAAACCACCAGGGACCACCCAGGCCCTCCCAAACTGACCAAATAGGGGTGGGGGGACCCTAAAATTCCCCCAAACCCACCAAGGGACCCCAAAACCCCCCCAAACCCCAGGGAGGGCACCAGGGAGCCAACTCTTACCTCTGTGTGAACTTCAGGTAGGGCGTGTAGTCGATGACCACGGGCGTTTTACCGTCCATCACCTCTCCCTTCAGGCAGAAGCTGAGCAGCGGCAGTGGGAGAAGGAGCAGAGGGTCAGGGCACCCCAGGGGGGTCAGTCAGGGCCTGTGTCCCACCGTGTCACCCGCCCCTACCTGAAGTCGATGGCGCTGAGCCCGATGAGCATCCCCGTGAGCACCGTGGACTCCTCCCGCAGCATGATGGCCCCGTCGTCGTAAAACCGCCTGCGGGGAAACGTGTGGCACCCCAAAACCACCCTGGCACACAGAGCCCACCCCGGGCCCAGGGCAGGTGTGGCCGTGGCTGGGGGGGCCGTGGGCTGCTCACCTGGTGGTCCGTGTGTCCCGCAGGGCCGTGGAGATGTACTCGGACATTCGCTTCTCCATCAGCGCCACGCGGATCCACGCCCGGCCCTGCAAGGGGGGGCTGCCATTGGGTCCCCCTCCACAGCTGCTCCTCACCACAATCCCACCCACCCCTGGCACTCTGGGGACGAGAAGACGGGGGTTCCCCACCCGGGAGTGGCTTTTGACCCATTTTTCGGTCCCATGGGGACCCACAGCTCCTGTTGTGCCCCAGTGATCCCCTGGGGTCCTATGGGGGGCAGAGAGGGAATGGGAGTGAGATGGGAAGGGATGGGATGGGATGGGATGGGATGGGATGGGATGGGATGGGA